CCCCTTTCAGCCGGGTCGCCGCAGGGGAGCAAGCAGAGCAAGCGGCGGTTTGGGCTCCCCTGTGGCAGCCTGACTGAGCAGCGCAGAAGTCAGCTGAGCGCCATGGCAAGAGGCGAAGCACATGACTCAGGCAACAGTGCCACCCAGAGGGAACAGTCAGGGAGGCACCAGCGCCGCCCAGAGGGAACAGCCAGCATTTCAGCGTTACAGACTCTCAGACATTGGGCTACTATGTATATGATTTGGTGACCTCCTAATTCTTAGATTGTGGGAATAAGTACATAACTTTTCCCTACTCACTTTTTCCACACCACTCATGATTTGATAGACCTCTATCCTATCCCTCCTTAGTCTCCTCTTTTCTAAGCTGAAAAGTCCATGTCTTTTAAATCTCTCTTCATATGGGACCCATTCCAAACTTCTCATCGTTTTTGTTGCCCTTCTCTGAACCTTTTCCAATACCGATATCTTTTTTGAGATGAGGTGACCACATCTGTACTCAGTATTCAAGATGTGGGCGTACCATGGTTTCATATAGAGGACACCACTTCCTACAACTCCCATTGGTTGGGAACCATGGGATCCATGACCAATAGGAGCTGCAAGTACCCGTATCTGTGGAGATGCAGGTAAACACAATGGCTGTGTCTACACTGGGCCACTTATTCCGGAAAATCAGCCGCTTTTCCGGAATAAGCTGCAAGCTGTCTACACTGGCCCTTGAATTTCCGGAAAAGCAACGATGCTCTACTGTACAAAATCAGCCGCTATTCCGGAAAAACTATTCTGCTCCTGCTCGGGCATAAGTCCTTATTCCGGAACACTGTTCCGGAAAAGGGCCAGTGTAGACAGCCCAGTAGTCTTTTCCGGAAAAGCGCATCTACATTGGCCACAGACGCTTTTCCAGAAAAAGGGCTTTTCCGGAAAAGCATCCTGCCAATGTAGACGCTCCTTTTCCGGAAAAACTGAAAACGGAATAGATTCCGTTTTAAGCAGTTCCGGAAATTCATGCCAATGTAGACACAGCCAATGATGATGGCCCACCAGGGGCTAACCTTGGAGAACCATGTCTTGCTCATGGGCTGGTTACTGCTCAGTGCTGACTTACACCAGGGACCTAGAAAGGGTTAATTCACTAACGAGGAAATCCTTGGAAGAAAGGGGCTTGTGTGGTCTCAAAGGCACTAGATACATGCAAAGTATAGTTGTTGGACTTTGTGTTTGTGCCTTTGTAGTGTGGAGAGCTTTATGTTTTTCACAGCTGTTCATGGATCAATGGTCTAAACTCACATGGAAGGAATAGGAGGCATGAGAATACGTCTTGAATGCAGAGACTGTTAGGGAACATCACAAAGCCTTCCTGCTAACTCACTCACAACACAGGCACTCTTTTTACCTTTAATTCCCCCCAACTCGCCCTTCCAAAGTGCAGGGAATTGATAACATCTTTTAAAACTCCCCAGTCCAACCACAACCCCATCTAAGCAAATTTGGACTCCACCCCAAAAGGGAGACATGTCAGAGAATCCATGAAGCCTATGGCTGTGGCTACAGATTGTACGGCGAACGTGCTCAGATCCCATAGTGTGAGCTGCAGGATAAAGATGATTAGCTAGAGAGATAGAGAGCTCGCCTTCTTTTCACCCACAAGTCAACTGTTCTCCCCCCCTCCACACACACACACACACACACACACTAAAACAAGTATCTGAAAATCAACAGCTCGGTGGCACACTGCCCGGTTTTTCATTTATGCCGTCCTACTTTGCACATGCTGTTTGTAAGAGAACATCAGACATTCATCCCTTTTGCAAGGAAGCGTCCTATTGATATTATTTCTGAGCTTGCAGGAACATTTACACAATCCACATACAGCTCTTTATAATTTCCATACTATGTAGATTTTATCTGGGTCCCACTGTACTCTGCCATTAAGTACATGCTAGCTCAATTTAAATGCATCTTCTACATGCATCACCCAAAAAATGTTTCCCACCCCTATTCTACATCATGCCACCTCACAATATGGAGCCAGATGTTGTTAGAAGGACAACAAGGAAGAGGATTTTGAGCCAAAGTAGAGTCCCAAAAAAACCATTTCAATTAAATGTCTGGTTTTGGGTTCATTGGACTTATGTGAAATTGCAGACTGTTAAGAAAAAAAATGTCCAACTCTGGATATCTAGGAAGGACTGGGCTATATGATTAAGACAAAGTGTAGTCCAGTAGAGTGAGTCGAGGACTAGAAGAAGGAACAGGTATTAGTTTCATAATAGGACAAAGATTTTAGTGACTGTGAAATTTTCAAGCCAATATGCTTTGTTTTTTAACACGCTTCATGGTGAGAAATCTGCAATCTCCCCAAATATTGCAAACTTTTGAGGACCAGATTGTGTGCATGAATTCCTGTGAAATGAATCTGTGAAAAATGTTGCACTTTTTTTTGTGGGGAAAAAATGTTCATGCTAGTCCCAGCTCTGCAGCCCACCCAAAGCCCATGGAAATCAACAGGTGTCTTCCCACTGCCAGTAACAGTCTCTGGATCACACGTTTCACAGCAACCTTGTCTACACTGCAGGGTTTTTGCACAAGAAATCTTTTGCGGAAGAGTTCTTGCGCAAAACCTTCTTGTGCAAAAGCGCATCCATGTCTCAAAGCACATTGCTTTTGAGATGTGCTTTTGCGCAAGAGAGCGTCCACACTGCATGGACGCTCTTGCGCAAGAAAGCTCTGATGGCCATGCACAGAATGGCCATCAGAGCACCTGTGCTTTTTCGATAGGCTCTTTTTGTGCAGGAAACCCCTGCGGAGTGTCCACACATGCCTTTTTGCGCAACAGCTGTAGCGCGGAAAGGAGTTATGTCTCATAGAAGGAGGTTTACCTACACCACAAAAAGCCCTCAGTTCTGCCATTTTACTGTCGATTTACTTGCACAAAAGCACACTTGAGGTGTGGACACTCCATGGGTTCTTGCGCAAAAATGGCCAGTTTTGCGCAAAAACCTTGTAGTGTAGATGTAGTCAGAATGTGTGAACATATGTGTGAGTGAATGAGAAGGATGGAGAGAGAGAGTGCCCCTTGTTTAGGGAGGGTAGGGGTATATTTCACTGTTAATGTGCATGCATTAATTTATTATACCTAGAAAAGAGCTGGAATTGCCATGAGCTGATACACACTGAAGAAAGCAGTCCAAACCATCTAAATGAATAGGGAACTGCCTCTCATTGGAGATTAATGCTAGGAAATAATCTCAGCCAAAATTACATAACTCTGTAATGCCAATCTAAGCAGCACCCTGTACAACGCAACAGTGACAGACATATTAAATAACAGTGGGCCCCCAAATTGGACATGCTTGGCAAAGTAGCATCTGTGACAGGCTGGATCACAAAAATCCCCTTGGGACTGTCCCCTGGTGTGCTGATCAAGCCACTGATGCCTGCCTTTCTGCCCTCTGGAATTTCCCAGCATCTTGTCCTGTTCAGCCAGAAGCTCTGGTCTCCCCCAGCCAAGGCACAGAGTTGGGGTTATCACTCCCCAGCAAAGCAACACAGACAATGAACCAGTTCAGCTCCGGGAGAACTCAGCTATAAGATCACTCATAGCACCTAGGAAATCAACCCCCAAAAGGAACCAAAACCCCAAATAAATCCATCTTACCTTGCATGAGAGCGCTCACATTGATGTTCACCCCCTTTATCAATGAAAGAGAGATATGCACAGTGGTTGCTCTCCCTGCTCCCTTATTTCCCCCCCCTCCCCCACCGCCATAACAGTTATTTACAATGGGCTTAATATTAAATAAAAAGTAGGATTTAAGTGATTTCAAGTGAAAACACACAGATCAAAGTTAATTATTAAGTTAAAATAAACAAAAGACACCAGCTAATGCTAATACACTAAGAAGCTAGTTATATGTCAATTCTTACCCTAAACAGTTGTTCTTATCTCAGGTAAAATGCTTCAAAACAGAGCTGATCTTTACTCTGGCCTGGGTCTATAGCTTTTCAGAGTTCTTTAGAACTCTTTGTTTTCAGGTTTCTTCGTGTGTATCCTCTTAGGGTGGGTGAGGCAGTTCCAAAGGCCAGCTGATTTCCTGAAAACAAAGACCTGATTGATTTCCAATCCTTAAATAGACCTTACCCCACGGCAGGAACCCTTTGTTCAGTCTCTCCATCTCCATGGAAACGTACTAGATTAAAGATGGATTCCAGTACCAGATGACATGATCTCATGTCTTTTAGGACCAACCACAGTTTGGGCTTACAGGAAAAAAGAAAACATTTGCAGGTCATTGGTTTGAGTACTCAGCCGTTAAGTTCCTAAAGTATCCCTAATGTCCCTCATTAGCACATTTAGAATTAAAAACAGATTAACACTTCTTATTTCTAACTTCACCTACATGAACGATACATGCACAAGAACAGGATGCAGAGATTCAGAAAACTGTAACTTTAAAAATAAGTTCCATGACTTGTTTCATATAAAACATCTCCAAGTTATGCGTATTCATATTCATAAGCCAATTTTCATAAATCATAGGGGGGGAACATGACAGCATCACCTTACTTGACTCATCCCAGCTCAAATGCACTAAAACTGCAAGGGCTCTCCAATGTTCTGCAAGACATTGCCTGCTTTACAGACTCCTTCATCTCTCATTTCAGGATGGCACTGTGCACCTTATCTATGGGGTCCTTGAAAAACCAGTCCCTTCCCTCCAAGCAATCAATATTTCTGCCATCCACAAGGGGCTCCAGAGGGTCCAGCTGCTGAAGCCCAACATCAGCACCCCTGAACTGCCGGATGACATGAAGACCATGGAGATAAGAGCTCCTGACGTGATCATTCCCAGCCAGGAGACTACATATTGGTGCTATATGGTGGAGCTTCCAGTCAGCTTCCCGAAACATCACATTGTCATGGTAAGGAGGAGGAGGAGAGCTTTTTCTGAAGAGGGATGTTTTCCACATAGCTAATTCGTTAAAGCTTAGGCAAGCTGTTTCCATGGCCTTAGCCCCCAGGGGAGGTGTTCCTCAGTTCTTTCCTTCATTGGCTAGTGCCCTGGACAAACAGTGCTCTCTGTGCTCCAAAGCCGGTCTCTGGGCCTCTCTTCACTTCATGGTGGACTGACACTGCAGCGATCAATCCACTGGCAGTCGATTTATCGTGTCTGTTTAGACACGATAAATCAACCTCCGAGCACTCGCCCATCAACTACAGTACTCCATCAGAAAGAGAAGAGTAAGAGAAGTCGATGGGAGGGCAGCCCCTGCTGACCGTACTGCATGGAAGACATTGCAGTAAATACATCGACTTTAGCTATGCTATTTGCACAGCTGAAGTTGTGTATTTTAGATTGGCGGGAGGGTGGGTAGTGTAAACTAGGCCTTTGAGTTCTCGAGATGGGACCTTCCAGGAGACACTTTCAGCAGCATCAGCGATATGGCAGCTTCTCCCTGGCTTGGTATCTACACACCCAACCTCCCCTCGCTGATCTCTCTCTGAATGGCGATGTCCACTAGGGTTGCTCGTATCGAGTGTCAGATTTTGAGTTTCTTCTCATATGATTTGATAATTGGAAACAAATTCCATCTGGATTGTCAGCTGGTTACATTTTTCTTCATTCCCATCTTTAAGCACTGTACATCATTGCCAGGCACTGTTAAACAGCCACGTCAGAAGTGGCTGCATTTCAGTGGTGGGTGAAACAAGACAACTGTATCATCAATATCTCGGCACATGCAAGTTGTAAACCGTTTTGAGATCTTCTATCTGGAGATTGTATAGAGACAGGTAGTATGGTTATAGGAGCTTTAGGTAGCTGTAAGATCATCATCACCCATTATAACTACTCATGATTTCTTCTTGGATCCCTGTTTTGTAGTATGAGCCAGTGATCACGGCAGGTAACGAAGCGATAGTCCACCACATGGAAGTCTTCCAGTGTGCCGCAGAATTTGACAGCTTTCCGCACTACAGTGGTCCCTGTGACTCCAAGATGAAGCCGGACCGACTGAACTACTGCAGACACGTGCTTGCCGCGTGGGCCATGGGCGCTCAGGTGTGCAGATAAAGCCATGGCTGATGCCTTAATTCTCATGGCCGATGCCTTAATTCATTGTGGGTGCTTTGCTTCCCCCCACCCCCAGTCCATTGGTCCCTGGTGCATCTGAAAGGTGAGTCGGAACACCCGCTCCCATTGTGCGGTGCTCAAAATCTGAATCTCGGTCTTGGGGCCTGGGTTCATCTTTGCTTAATATCCCCTCCCCCTCCCCCAGACACATGAACCTCATGCATGGGTTCTACTGAAATGAGCAGAACAGTCATTTGGAATGATACTTCCCAGCCCACAGCACACATTAGCGGGCCACAGAACAATCTCCGCCTTGCATACGTCCCTCTCTAGCTTCCTCTGCCTGACTCCATGTATCAGCTGCACGCAATCCCCTCACCGTCTCTCCTCCTGCTTACAGGCCTTCTACTATCCAGAAGAAGCAGGACTTGCCTTTGGCGGTCCGGGATCCTCCAGATATTTACGGCTTGAGATTCATTACCACAATCCCCTGGTGTTCAAAGGTAAGCAAACCTCCAGGGACCTTTGGATCTGGGGCCAGAGATTCCTGTACTGGCCAGCCTCTGCAGCACAGTCTGTGGAAATTTGTGAGCCAAGGGAAAAAAAATCATAAAAACTCTTTAGCTAACACACTGACACACTGAGGTCCCAGAGTAAGCACTCCCCCAGTTTCTTCTCTTGCAGTGGCAGGTCATCCTAACCTCCCAGGCTCATTCATTGGAAAGGGAGCCCACATTTGCCCCAAGGACTAACCGCCCATACTGGCACACCCTCACCCAGCTCAGGGAGAAGGATGCCAACTTGTATCCCAGATAACACTGCTTTCATCAGGCATTGTCTCCACTACAAAATGTCAAGAGAGAATGCACCTCAATGTGACTTGTCACGGGAAAACACCCAGTTTTGGCGACAAAAAAATTCCACTCCTATGAGAGACTTTTTTTCTTTTCCCTTCCTTTTACTGTTGACAAAGAGCCAGTGTGGCTCTTTGTTTTGTCAACAGAACTGGCTTCTGCCAGTATCCCACAATTTCTGCCCTGGTGGCTCTGCTCAGTGTTTTGTGATCTCTGCTGCCCTGCAGGCACACACCCCTTTCATAGCTCTGGGAAGTGTCTGACAGCTGAGTGAGCTGCTCTGTTTGGGGAACAAAAAGCAAATCAATGGACTTCTTCTGTTCTGCTCTGTACCAGGAACACGGTGGCAAGCAGAATGCTGCTGCAGGGGGAGGGGGTTGGCTGCTGTGCTGCTTACACAGAATTATAGAATCATAGAGTTGGAAGAGACCTCAGGAAGTCAAGTCCAACCCCCTGCTAAAAGCAGGACCAATTCCAACTAAATCATCCCAGCTTTGATGTTTGTCTTCACCAAGAGCTCAGAGATATTCATGATGCTACTCCTAGGCAGCAGAAGAAGCTGTGGGAGACTTCAGAAGGAATCCCAAGATGCACAGGGCTCAGCTCTGCCTTCCCACAATACGGCATTGTGGGATACCTATCTGCAGTGCCGTGCTCACACTGTTGATGAAGGTGCCCCCAGTGGAGACACAATCTGTCAACAGAGGGAGCATATGGGAACGCCCTCTGGTGATTTTTGTTTTCTCGACTTTTTGGGTGTCAACATAAGTTGTGTCAACAAACCGCGGTAGCGCAGATCTACCCTGAGAAGCAGCTGAGGCACTGACATTTGTCCGCATAGTCACTGTGCAAGCAAGGAAACATGCCATGGAAAGCAGCTCCTACCCAGACCCCTGCAGGGCCCAACAGAGCACCTTAATGGGGCTGCCTGTGGGACATGGGCGCCTCATACTCTTTTACTAGCTGTTCACTAGATTCTGCTGGGTTCCACTTTCTCTGCTCTGATCAGCCCAGGGCCTTGTACTTTTAACCCAGCCGAGGTCAGGAAATATTGGAGGACTCAAGCAAAAGGCCCTGCCTATGAGGGGCCTGGCATTGCTTACAGCTAAGAAAGGTTTGGCCTGGTCCCAATCTCCCTGCCTCGTCTGGCGTGGCTTGTGCTCTGCCTCACACCAGCCTCTGCAGACTGCGATCCTGCCAGGCAGTCTGGCACCATTCAGCACAGCTGGCAGGCGCAGGTCCAGGGCGGCATCAGCCAGGAGCGGGCGCAAAGGGACTTTTCAGAACTGGACTGAGAAGCCTTGGCAGAGCTGCCTTCGCTATGCCTGGCTCGCAGCAAAGGTATTAAACCCTCCGACGGGGATGTTTCTGTCTGAGCCCCTCTTGCCAGCCTTTCCAAACAGAACCCGCCTCCACTCTCTGTAGAGCTTTCAGGCAGAGCTTTGCCTCACCCCATACAATACAATCAAGGCAGACAGGCAAAGAAAATCTGCAGAGACGCAAGATCACAAAACCACCCATTACATGGGAGAGTTTTGGACTGGTCTACCTGAAACAGCTCCCACCTAGACTGGCCATGTTCTGAACAGGGATCCTGGCTTGCAACATATCACAACATAAATGGCCAGCACTGTGCACTTCTTTTACTTTTCACGTGAGGAACTAAAAATGCCTGTACAATTAGTTTAGTCGCCCAATCCCCCGATGAGGCAGATCAGCATTAGCAGTCCCATTTCACAGACAGGAAAACTAAGGCACAGAGTGGTTCAATAACTTGCCTGACAAGTCACACAGTGGCAGAAATAGACCTTAGGAGCGATGGATATTAGCCCTGGACTATGCAATCTCAGAACTAGGTTGTACATTCTTCGCCTCATACTCGAGTATTTAGAGGGACCTATCGACGTATTATCTGAGCTCCTCTTCTCTGTGCTATTATCACCGCTGGGGATCTGATGCATCAAGAGGCTAAGAGACTTATAGGAAGGGTCCCATAGAAAGCATGTGGCTAAGCAAGGACTTAAGCCCAGGTCCCTCAAATTCTAGGCTAATGCTACAATGACTGGACCTTCCTGCCTGCCTGTGGGGAGTGAAAATATCTTCCTTACCCAGCTCTGCAAACTTTTGGTCTTCCCACCACTGCTTTCCGACACCAGGGCTGAATTTCATTACAGAGGGAGAAGTCTGGGTGGGAGTGGGATGGGGGAGATGTTTTTAGAAAGAATAAATAGCATTTCTTGGTTGATACATTTGACAGTCAACACATTTTTTTAAAATAAAAACTCAGCTAAATTATCGAATTTCTGCATTTACATCAAATCAAGTCACTCCGTGATTATCCCAGAGTATTTTTAGGAGGCCAGAGCATATGTACTGCAGATCAATCATATCACATTCCGAGACTCGAGAAGTAACAGGTCTATAAATATGCCGCTCGCGCCTTTCATTATTTTAACCGCTTTTTCCTTCTAACCAATAACATCACCCCATTTATTCTTGTCCGCTTGATGAATCCAACCCAGAGACAGATCCTTATAAATAAGTATGAGCCCACTTGGCCCCAGCTTATCCGGCCTTTCCCGTTACAACTCAAACCTGAAAAACATGCCCAGGGAAGGCACCGTTGGCGCTAACTTTGTTTCATTGCTAAGAGAACCCAGTAGCAACGTAAATACGGTGCACAATGTAGTGGAGTCCTCTTGAGCTGTACAATGGGGCTTTAACCCTAGACCTTCAGATCCAGAATCATAAGCTTAATATGTATGCTAAAGGTCTACATCTTTTAGATGCACGCAGCCACCAGCTCCTAAATCTTTTATGCATCTCAGCCACTGGAAGTCACACCAGTATTACTCCTAGACATGCTGGAGATTTGTCGCACTCCTACCCACCCAGCTGCTATCATGGGAGCAATTTTTGGTTTTTATTCCCATTGTCGGAGAGAAAGAGTCTTCATTGGGGCAGGGCTCCCATCTGGACAAACCCACCTCAGGGCTTGTCTCCTCTTACTGGGAGATCGCTGTGGAGATCGATCTCCCAGGGTTCGATTTAGCAGGTCTAGTAAAGACCTGCTAAATAGACTGCTGATGGTGGCCCTTGTTGACACCGGCACTCCACGGGGTCACAAGGAGTAAGGGAAGTCAACAGGAGAGTTTCTCCCATTGACCTCATATATGGGGACACCAAAGAAATTCGACCTAAAGTACATTGACCCCAGCCACGCCATTCATGTTGCTGGAGTTGTGTCTTAAGTCAACTCTCTTTCCACCATGTGGACTGTGCCCCAGACAGGCTCCTCAAGGATTCTTCTGTAGTTTCAACCATCCTTCTAAAAGGGCTGGACAGAGCCCTCTACTATGCCAGTCGGCCTTGCTGGCAAATCAGCCTGCTTAGTCTGCCTCCCTCCACTCTTGGGGTGAAGGCCTGGTCTACACTTAAAACATGTGCTGGCACAGCAATGTCGCCTAGCGATGTGATTTTGTTAATGCCAAACGCAGCAAAACGTAGCACAGACACGGTTATAGCAGTAAAAAGTCCTGTCGTTAGTTAGTTTCTTTTGTTCAAGGACTTGAATGGAATAAAAGGGAACTCCCAGTGCCTAGTGCTCAGTAGCACATCTCTGGGTGGTTCAGCTGAGCTCAGTCTGAATTCACCGAGAAAATTCAGGTCGGTGGGGAATGCTGGCTCACTGATGTCTAACCTCAGGAAGGGTGGCTCTGTTCTCTCTTCGGGCTAGGACGTTACCTGAAGGTGTGGCGGTAATTTCATGAATTCACTTGTACGGGAACCAGGTTGCAACGAGTGGGATGCTCAGAGCTGGGGGAAGGAGCCCGGAGACGAAGGAGATGATGGATATAGTTAGGTGTTGCATTCCAGCCCCAGGCTCTACAGAGCATAGAACAAGCATCCTGTCCACTCGTCTCAAACTAGGCAGGGTCCAAACCAGTTTGTGGGGGCAGCAGAAGAGAAGCCCCATTGCTAGCAGGCTAGTCGCTGTAATTGGGGGATGGATCTCCCCAGCCACAAGGGAGAGCAGGACCCTTTCATTGCAATGGCTGCCCTCTACGTGGATTCCCAGGCCAGAAGAGAAGGACAGCTGCGAGCCTGACACCCTGCATAGCTCAGACCACAGAACCTCCCCCCAAATCCTTCCTGGAGCAGGTCTCTTCAGTGGGGACTCTCACACCCGTCAGCACCAAAGAGCTTTTTTTGGAACCCACGGGAGCCGAATGCCTCTAATCCGCAGAGAGCCCAGTTAGGAACCTGGCTTTGGGACTGCAGCAGGAAGGAAGGGAAAGCAAGGAGCCCTCTTACACCTCTGCATGAGATGCCCCCACATTGCCGGTCCCCGCACAGCATTGCTCTGCCGATGTGGGCAGGGAAGGGAAACAGGGGGAGCTTTGGTCCTGTCCTACCCCCTGGCACCGTGCAGGCCCGTACAGCTTTTCCAGGGGGTGTTGGGAATCAATCATCGCATTAGGGCAATCAGTGCTTACATCTCCTATAGAGCTAGGGGGAACCAGGCACTGGTTTGGGTCTCTCGGTCACAGGCTGGCCCCTTCCCTGCTCTTAGGCAATCACTGCTTACATCTCCTATAGAGCTAGGAGGGAACCAGGCACTAGTTTGGGTCTCTCAGTCACAGGCTGGCCCCTTCCCTGCTCTTGGGGCAGAGAAGCTAGATGCTAACCCTTGCTGGGCCTGGATTGTCAGGCTCCCAACCAGCCCAAAACTGGGATACAAGTCCTGCAGCCTTTGCACCGAGAGTCCCTAGTTTAGAAGCAGAGTGAGACTGGAAAAGGTAGAGAAGAGAGAGATTCCCATCCCTGGGTCTGAACTGAGCTCAGGGTTTCTCCAAAATCTGCCTCCTAAACATACTCCCCTCCTCAATGGACTCTCATGGACTTCCAAAGACATTCCCACTTGATTCCCTCCTCTCCTCTTGGTGCCCCTGGGAGCGATCAGTGGCTGGGATGGCCACCAGTGTTCCCTGTAAGCTCAGCACTCGGGCGGCCACCCAGGAGAAATTCAGGTGCCACCCACCTGATTAGCAGAGCACCCATAGCTGCACACAGCCAGCAGCATGTGTTTCTACTGGTGGTGCACATCCACGCCTGCCTTGATGCACATAACAAAAGTCATTCCACCCCTGGATTGAAAAAATGTGAGAGAACACTGCTGGTGACCTTTTTAGATTACCAAGTACATATTTAGAGACCATTTAGTCCAGTCTCTTGTTGCTAGTACAACTGCCTAGGGAGAGAGGGGATTACAATAGGATTTTTAAAATACTGATACTAGGTCAAGGAATGGATGCAGTCTGCCAGCAAAGGGAAGCTGCTTTCCCGAAGTGTAGTGCCCTGACGTTGAATTTTTCATGCCTGACATTTTCCCACATGTGATTCTTACTCCCACTGCGATTTGCAACACGGTGTTATGTCGTGTCCCCTCTCTGCACCAGGTCGTCACGACTCCTCGGGGATTCGCCTCTATTATACTGCCACGCTGCGACGCTACGATGCCGGCATTATGGAGCTGGGCCTGGTCTACACGCCGGTGATGGCAATCCCACCTGGCGAAACCGGTTTCCTTCTGAAGGGGTATTGCACAGACAAATGCACTCAAGCGGTGAGTCGGCCAGAGCCTGGCAGAGGTCTGGGCAACCTTTCCCCACTCAGTGGCACATGGAAAGTCCAGGCCTAGCGCCTGTTTACTCGGATGAGAGTATTGAGGTTTAGAGATGAACTGGCCAGGTAGTAGCTACGTGTCTTTAGCATCTGCGCATCATCCTCAGGAGGCAGGTGACCAGGTCCGTGGGTCGGATCAGTGTTTTTCAACCAGTGGTACGCGTACCCTTAGGGGTACTCGAGAAGTCTGGGAGGTACATCAACACAACTGAAATTTGGAGAAAACAGAATTTTGGTTTTAAGTTTCACCGTGTTTAATTATTTTTGTATTTTTTACACCCAAAAATTTCATCGCCCACCCGGCTGCAATTAAATTGTTTAAACGAATGTGTTGCAATGGTAGAAAAAAAAATTGTGTGTCTGAAAACTATAGGTACTAGGGGTACTTATTATTTTTTTAAAGGGGGTACTTTATATTGAGAAACACTGGGTTGGATCATTAACGTCCCCGGCGTGAGCCAGGTCTTGCCAAAGTAAGCACCTGTGTGTAAGCACATGGATGAAAGCTAATCAGGAATGAAAGAAAAGTTGCAGCAACTTGGTGTCGTTTATGCTGCCTTGACAGCAGCCTCGCCAAAGTGGCTTTGCACCATGGAGGAATGTCTCTTTCTCGCCACCCGTTGGGCACGGTTAATTTCTCATGCAGGTAGAGGGGCAAGGTGGGGTTGATGCAAGAAGGTGTGGTCCAAGGCCAGAGAGCTGATGGCAGACCAAGGACTGGGACTCGGTCGTTCCTGGCTCCCAGCCCTGTGTTTAGACTGAGGTTTTTAATCGAAGTGCTAAGACCGGGGAAGCAAAAAACGCCCCCCCTGGGTTCTCAGCATCTTCAAGCAGCTTCTTTTCTCTAGAATTGGTAGCAGACTGACAAGCAGGAACATGACGGGGTTAGGTTCCTTGGGCCAGTTGTTTAGCCCCATGTAGGTTGCTATCAAAGTCCGGGGGCAGCCGGGTGTACCCTGCGTGTCCTCGCACGGCATCCCTCCCCTTGGTGAAGCTGCTGTGTGTATGAGGTATCGCCGATCTCACTGCCTCACAGTCACTGCGCAGCCAGCGTCCAATTCACTGCCCGATAAAATGCTTGTGGCTACAGTCGGAACCCCCCTTTCCAGCCCGTAGTACTGTGAGTTCCATCATAAAAATGCTGTTTCAAGCAAAGACCCAGGAGTGTTCTCCAGCTGTTCAGAAAGTGCTGACAGTCCATTTGAAGTCAATTCTCCTGAACAGCCATCGGCTTTATCTCCCTGGTCTAAGCCCCATTCCCTGGCTGTCTCAGAAAACTTATCACTGGCCTTTCAGCTCCTGAAAGGTGCATTTTTTCTCCTTAAGACAAAACAAATGAATATTGAACACTGGTGGACGGGCACCGTGCAAGGATATAAATCCCACCCCAAGGCAGCTGTCTGTTGGGGTTTTACATTTCTCCTATTTAAAGGCCCGTTATCCAATTTGATTGAACATTTTGTTACAGTACCACCTGTGGTGTGCTCGATTTCAGTGGCTGTGGGTGCCTGACCTGACAGACATGTAGGCTATGTCTAGACTGCAGGCTTTTTTCGAAAGATGCTCTTTCGAAAGCATCTTTCGAAAGAGCCTCTTTCGAAAGATCGCGTCTAGACTGCAGGCAGATCTTTCGAAAGAAAAATCCGCTTTTTCGAAAGAGAGCACCCAGCGAGTCTGGATGCTCTCTTTCGAAGACGGCCTCTTTACATTGAAGAACACCTTCCTTCGAAAGAGGAACTTTCGAAGGAAGGCGTTCTTCCTCGTAAATTGAGGTTTACCGCCATCGAAAGAAAAGCCGCGTTCTTTCGAAATAATTTCGAAAGAACGCGGCTTGAGTCTGGACGCAGGGGAAGTTTTTTCGGGAAAAGGCTACTTTTCCCGAAAAAACCCCTGAGTCTGGACATAGCCGTAGGCAGAGAGGAGGGGGAAAGAAACAACACACCAGGATTTTTAATTTGGATGTGAGGGGGAATGGGGTCGGGATTTGGACTCCCTCCGTCGTGTGCTTTCTCAATTTCCACTGTGACATCAAAGCAGTTTTAAAGGCTATTTTTAGGGGCCGTACTCAAAAACAATAGCTGGTGTGGAGCACTAACCAACATAAGCCAGGCGGCTTCTGCTGAATTAGAAAGTGGTGGTGAGTAAATCAGTGCTGGACAAACTGAATTGCTGGCCCCCCAAAGAACATTAATTTTCACGCTGCTAAGAGACTTTAAAAAACAAACTGCTCTTTACATTTACTTGACACTGTCTCTTTAAGTGCTTGCCCTGCCCCGCCCAGGGAAGCCATGCTCAGTTCCCGAAGAGCACAGGGAAAAAAGGGCTTTAGGAAAGAGGGAGTGATGCTGGTTGATTTATTCATCGTTATTTCGGCCCACACAAGCCTGGACGTGCTCATGGGGTTTTTCTTCCAGGCTCTGCCCCCGGCCGGGATCCACATCTTTGCCTCCCAGCTCCACACTCACCTGACGGGAAGGAAGGTGGTGACGATCCTGTCCCGCGACGGGAGAGAAAGGGAAGTTGTGAATGCGGATAATCACTACAGCCCTCACTTCCAGGTACTCTCCTTTCCCCGTTGCCTGCAGCGTCAGCCCACCTTGAAAACAACCCTGCCTCCATTCAATGGTTGGTCTCATTTCCCGCACACATGGGTCAAGGTTCCAATTTTTATCCTCCTGTGTGCAGAATAAATTTTGTTTATGCGCACTAAGGCACGTGCTGATGTGCACCACCAGTAGAAACACATGCTACCAGCTCTTGGCACTCTGCTCATCCGCTGGGCAGCATTTGAATCTCTCCTAAGTGGCTGCCCATGTGCTCAGGTTAGGGAACGCTGACACGGGTGCAAACCGGGTTCAGTGCCGCTCTTAACTAAACTCATCAGTGCTTAATGGGGAAGCTAGGGTAGCAAAGGGGGGAACTGGTTGCATCTAACTCCAGTGTTGTTTTTCTTCCTTTAGGAGATCCGCATGTTAAAGAAAATGGTTTCTGTGTTCCCGGTGAGTGTCAGCAGAAGCAACTAAGCCGCTCCCAAGGGTAGGACCTGGGAGCTCCTCTTTGGCCTGTGTTCCATGGGGGGTCAGATGACATCAGAGCCAGATGATGTCTTCAAAGGCCCTAGGCACTCTCATAATCATAGGCCTTTAAATTAGATTATATAGAAATTCGTAAGGGAGAAATGCCCTTCCCCTATATCCTAATTGTAAGATGTTTTCTTTTTTTATTTTCAAATTAATTATGATTTTTTTATTGGACCTACATTTTTCCTAGGCCCTAGAGCAGGGGTGGGCAATAATTTTTGATGGGGGGGGGGGCATTCCAAGATTTTGGAAATTGGTCAAGGGCCACACTCTTCCATGATATTAATGGAGGTGATGGGCCTGGAATTGAGGTTTGGTGCAGAAAGGAGATTAGGTAAGGGATTAGGGTGCAGGAGGGAGTGTGGGGGCTGGGGAGG